AGCTCCTCTTCTCCACACTGAACAATCCCAGCTCCCTCAGCCGCTCTCCTGTCCAGGTCCCTCTGTAGGGCTGCCTGCCCTCAGGCTGATCCACGCTTCCCCAGCATGGTGTTGTCTGCCAACTTGCTGGGATGCACTCAGTGCCCTCATCCAGATCATCAATAAAGTTATTAAGTAAGAAGGGCCCCAACACCGACCCCTGGGGAGCCCCACAGCTGGATGTAACTCCATTCACCACCATCTCTGGGCCCGGCCCTCCAGCCAGTTCCTTCCCCAGGAATGAGTGCACCTGTCCAAGCCAATTTCATTTCTTCCAAAGTAACATCGTTCATTTCCCCACAGAATGCGGCTCAGTTGCAAACAGTGCCCACACACCAGCAGCACACAGAGCTCTGCTCCTGTGGCTGGCGGAGGTTTCCCAGTTTCTCCCTGCCTGGAAGCAGCCCACCTCCTGCCCTGGGTTTGGCAATACTCCGCTATGAGTTCAGCTTGTCAAATTTCAAAAGGAAAATAAATGTGCAAGAAGGGACAAAGGGACGTTTTATAGCAGTCACAGCCGCTGCAGCCACCCCACCTGCTCTTTTATTTAGCACAGTCCAGACAGCTTCAGTGGGTTGGAGCTCAGGCAAGGGGAAATGTACGCTGCATTAAGCAGTGAAATACAGTTATGACTCACATACGGCAATATATCTTCAGTCTCATGGAGCACTTAAAGATGCTTCTGTTCTGTCTTTCTTCTCTGCTCTGATCAAGCAGCTGCCAGCTTTCCTGGGACTATGAGCTCTTCTTAAGCCTGGAGTGAGCTACTAGCAGATCCTCCCTATACAGGGCAGCTCCTGTTGTTGGCTGGGGTGGAAAAGGAGTTCCCTGCCCTGTGGCATTCGCCCTGAACAGGGTAAACAGAGCTGTGGGTTGTTTACTGGTATTGCCACATCTTTCTAGCTAAAATGAAAGAGAGAGACATCATTGCATATGAGTCTGGAATGGCTTAGCAGATCACAGTGGGAGTATCAGAAGTGGCACAAAAATGCTGCTCACTGCAGCAAAATCCTTAAAGGCTATATGTTTTCCACAAAGGTCGTCAAGCTCTAGAAAATCTTTCCAATAGACATAAAAGACAACTTCCCACCGGTGACATCACTTGAACCTTCAGCTGAAAATAGCAGGTTCTGTTCTGTACCAGCCTGATCTGGCACCCACAGCAGAGGTTGGAATTAGTTGAAATCCAAGGTCCCTTCCAACCTAACCCACTCTATGACTCTGTGATAACTTCTTTTGGCCCCAAAGTCTCCCCAGCTGCCACACTGCATCACCTGCACTGCTGCCTAACTTGCTTCAGGACAATCCCACTGATTTCTCGCCTGTAAAAACAACCCTTAAAGTAGGACCAGCTGCATAAATAGGATGCATTTGTCATCATGCCTTTTCTACGCATCCACAGAAACATCCACAAAAACATACTATCAGCAAAAAAAATTTTGAATCTAAACAATTTCATTCAATACCGTGAGCAACACTTTCCAGACAAGCCTGTCTGGTCAAAGAGAAGAGGAGCCTGAGAGCAGCCTTGCAAACTAATAGCCCTCAGCTAAGGCAGGAAGGAACCCCACCTGACTGCATCCACCAACTGCACCCATTTCTTGGATTATTCTTCAAGCCGTCTTCGGAATGACAGCCTGAGTGGTTAAGGGATGGAGTGGAATTACTTTGCAGTGCATTGCATCCATTTAAATACTTCTCACCAGAGATTTTTCTTACTCGGTTTATTTTTAATAAAGGCTCTTGTTACAAAAATGAGATGTCAGAAAATCTGACACATCACTGCACCATTTGCTTGGTGTCTATTTCCAGCAGCAGGTGAGAAGACTCAATTCCCACCTGCGCCAAGCTGTTTTACACCAATCTGCTCTGTCAGAAAACAAAGAATAAAAGCAAGAAAACATATGGAAGACACCTGTATGTGCACTGCTATGCATGATTCCAGCAGTGTCGGCTGTAAAAGGGAGTACACATATCCTTTTCCATCCCCACGCAGTGAGTATCAGAACAGAGAAGCACAGCCTAACGCCAGCATCACCAAGCCAAAAGGGGCTATAAATTTGGTCACTCTCAAAAACAACTTGCCATCTTCCATCTGTAGCTCTCTTTTATTCTTTTAGTATTTATACTCAAGAATTGCCGTTGACAAAAATCCCCTGTAATCACCAGGTGACAGGATATAGTGACTTAAGGCTCTGATACTGGAAAATTTGAGTGATAAATGCCAGATGCTATGAATCTACAAATCTGTCCTTCTTGGAACAGTTCTGGGTCTTGAAATCTGAACATCATTCACCAGGGTCCTATTCTGCAATGTATTCATCTGCGAATCCTTGCCTTGGAGCAACGTAATGATGTTTTCTTTCTGGTGCCTAATTGCCAACTGGAGGGCCGTGCAGCCAGTAATATCTTCCACATTGAGCAGAGCACCAGCCTTAATCAAGGTCTTTATAATGGCCATGTTGCCCTTGAGGACGGCGAGGTGCAGCGGTGTCCAGCCCACTTTGTTCTTCACATTGACGTCTGCCCTGCACTCCAGGAGATTGATGACAGTCAGAAAAGAGCCCCGCTGCACTGCAAAATGCAGGGGGGCCCACTCGGACTTCTCAGTGATGTTGGGGTCTGCCCCACACCTCAGCAGCTCGCTGACCACCGGCTCTTCACTGTAGCGCGTGGCCAAATGCAGCGGTGTCCAGCCCATGCTTCCCCTGACGTTCAGCTTGGCACAGCTGTCTTTCAGCAGGTGGATGATCTCGATGTGTCCTTTGAATGAAGCCAGGTGCAGGGGGGTCCAGCCTTTGTCCGTCCGCAGCTCGACGTTGGCTCCGTACTTGATGAGTTTCTCGCAGATGAGATATTTCCCCCTCACCACGGCCAGGTGCAGGGCGCTGTAATGGTTTTGGTCCAGGCTGTTGACACAGGCCCCGTTATTCAGCAAATAGTGGACTACCCTGAACTTCCCTCTCTCCACAGCCACGTGGAGTGGAGTCCTGTGGTTCTTCTGCTTCTTCTCCAGGTCTGCTCCCTGACTGGCGAGGAGCTTCACCAGGCCGACGTGCCCAAAGCAGGCTGCCACATGGAGGGCGGTTTTCCCATCCACCTCTTGGGTGTTGGAGTCAGCCTGGCGAGAGAGCAGCACTCGGGCCACATTCTCAAAGTTGTTCTGGGATGCCAAGTGCAGAGGGGTCCACCCGTCGTGCTCCTGAGCGTTGACATGAGCCTGGTGGTCCAGCAAGAGGCGAACAATTCGGTCATCACCATTCTGAGCAGCGAAGTGAAGAGGTGTCCAGCCATCCTCATCGGGCATGTTGGTGTCCGCACCGTGCTCTATCAGCACCGAGCAGATCTCTGGTGATCTCTTCTGAACAGCCACGATGAGTGGGGTGTAGCCACAGACCGCCTGGCTGTTCACATTGGCTTTGCAGCTCAGGAGAAACTTCACCTTTTCCACGTTTCCTTGGATCACCACGAAGTGAAGCAGTGTGAGGCCGTTCTCATGAACTCTCCAGATCTCCTGATACAGGATGTCCTCTGGGCTTTCCATCTCACTGTGAGAAGGTGGGCCGTGAACCTCCTGGTGACCGGTTCCTAAAGGCAGGGGAAACAGAACACCAGGGGGAGAAAGGCAGAGTGGAACAGCTCGGTATGCACAAAACAGGAGGGACAGCATGCGGCTCCTCATGTTGTGTGATGAAATAAAAGCGTCCTAGAGATAGGGAATGTGAAATGTGTCTTTTGAAGCCATGAGATGTTTGGTCTCTGCATCATGGGAACTTATTTCCCATATAGTTCATTTTGTTTAATTTAAAACGAAAAGTCACACACAGAGAAAACCTCCTTGAGACATATCCTTATCTCTGGAGAGCAATGAAATATCCTATTCTTCTGGTTTCCCTCTTCCTTATATTTAAATGATGAAGAAGAGTTCCCTACTTACCACTGGCTCTGGCGTCTTGAGAGAAGATAAGCTCTTCTTTGTCACTCTTATTTTCCGGAAGGGGGAAAGAAAAAAACGTAAGAGAAAGTTGCTTATTTGCATTATATATCTTTTGCACAGATTTCTTCTTTGCTCCAGAGTTTTGTGTTGTCATTTGTGTGTTTTTTATCCAATCCTGAGAGCAGGGCAAGTCATGACACTAACGGGCATGCAGGAGCCTGAAGAGATCTCAGGACATCATGAGACTTTGCTCCTTAGCTCCAACTTTTTAGATATGACAAAGCCACCGCAATAGAGCTGGAAGGAAGGACCTTTCTGTTGGACCATCTATCGTTTAGCACAGTGGGCAGCTTCCTAGATTGATTTGGACTTTTCCCATCCCCATAAATGAATGACAGATGTGCACCCTATGCAAGCACACACAGGGTGTTGAGGTGCTCTGATGATAAATAGTGATGGGAGAGGAAATACTTCCTCAGGAGCTAGTAAGAAGAGGGAGGGACTCAGAGCACTTCCCCAGGCACTAAGCAGCCTTTCTCACCTGCTGGTTCCCAGCAATGGCAGGTCTGTGGGACATCTTTCTGACAAGGCGCTCGTTCTCCGGATCCACAACAAGGCTTTGTATCAGTGACAGCAGCATGTCTGTTTCTACAGGGATATCTGCAGGAGCAGGGAGACTGTTAGCTGTGCAGATTACCCAGTCAGCACTCAGGGCTGTGGGAGTCCTCTGTTATCCTCTGCATGGGGAGGAAGGCAAGAGGGACAAAAAGGATGTGTTGACAGCAGATGGGTACCAAGCATTGCCAAAGCGACAGGCACTTTATCTGGCAGCCAGTTACATGCAAGCTTATCCCCCAGTTGTTGATTCCTGCAGCTGACCTTTGCCTAATCCATTCGCTGTTCAAATACTACACCTGTAAAGCTCGGTCTTTGCTTAGGGTCTTGATCCCAGCACCTCTTCATCAAGTCCACCATCTGCTGGCATTCCCCTGGCCAGTCGTCACTGATGGGTTCCAGGCAGGGCCTCTTGCCTGCTGCTACCTTGACGATGATGGCCATCATGTTGGCTCCTGAAAGAGTCACAGCAGCATACATTGGGTTTTTTCTCTGTGTAGGTGGCTGTAATAAACTTTTAATGAGTGCAGAGCACGTAAGAAGTGCATTCACTCTCATACTTACCTGCATAAGGCTTCTTCTGCATAAGCACCTCCCAAATGACAATTCCAAAGCTGCAATGAGAGATTGTGAGCAATCATTTCCATAGAGTTCTCATCGGACACAAACATAAAATCCACTAATTACTTCTGTCTTCCCAAGAAATGTAGGAAAGTTGTCCTTCATGATGGAAGAACTGGGATTGCACCCACCACACCCCCAGAGGACAATATTCTATGAATCATCACATACATCTCTGATGTCTGCCACAAGGCTTGAGCAGTGGATGAGTGACTTATAGCATTTCTCATGACAGCCTACATCCCTATGCAACCCATTTTATTCCTATTGCGTTACCGAGTGCCTGACTGGTGCAAGAGCATGTGACCACATGAATCCCCCTTTGCTATTTCTCTCGGATCACTGTGCAGTGCAGTAGTGAAGGAGCTGACAGACATCCAGAACGTAGCTTTTATAAGTGGGCTGCAAAGCAATTTGGCCAGAAGGATATTTGAATGCTGTCTCACCCATGTGCACAAAGGCAGCCCTTACCTGTACACGTCATATTTGATTCCTGGAGGCTTGGTGTTCTGCAGAAACATTTCTGGGGGAATGTAGCTCAAAGTGCCCCTCAAAGCAGAGCTTTCAATATATTGCATTCGGCTTGACTGCTCCATCCATTTGGAGAGCCCAAAGTCTGAGATCTGCAAGCAGAGAACATGACATTCTCTCTAACATTCACCATCTCACTTCTCTTCATTTTAGCTGGGAGATATCTCTGTCCTTCATGATCAGGAATATGAGGAGGTGTCTGATAAACCTGAGAAAACCCAGCTAAAACCAAAATCAGTGCTTTTCACTGAGTCCAGCAGCATCTGGATCAGCATTTTACTCTGTATTCCCAGTTCTGGCACAATTGGGGCAGTGAGGTGCTGGCACTGCTGCCCAGAGAGCTGTGGGTGCCCCATCCTTGCAGGCACTCAAGGCCAGGTGGGATGGGGCCCTGGGCAGCCTGAGCTGGTGGGGGGCAGCCCTGCCCACGGCCAGGGGTGGCACTGGGTGGGCTTTGAGCTCCCCTCCTACCTGAGCCGTTCTGTGATTCTATGAATCTCCTACATAATCTGGAATATATCATGCAATTTGTTTACCAGCTGCTTCTTGCAAGCTGTAGATGTCAATCTTAATGATGAGTGTTCCTGAAGATCCTTGTTAGGCTTCTGGACTCAAAACAGCCTATGTACTACCAAGAGAAATGACCTGTCCCTGCAAACAATAAGGCCATACCTTGACATGCATATTCCCATCAAGGAGGATGTTCCCTGGCTTTAGGTCTAAGTGAAGCAAAGGAGGTGTCATGCTGTGCAGGAAATTCATAGCCAAGCCCATCTCATGGATAACCCGGAACTTGAGCTGCCATGACATTTTGTGAGTGGGCAGGATTTTCTCCAAGGACCCTCTGGCCATGTATTCCATCACTATGCCCAGAGGGCTGTTGCAGACCCCGTAGATAGTTACAATGTGCTGGAATTTTATTTTCTCCATCTTGGTTGCTTCTTCCATTAGACAGTTCACACTAGTTCTGGGTCAAAAAAAAAAAGAACCAAGAGATGGTGTCAGTGCTGATCCATAGGTGGAGTTCCTGTACAGCAGCTTAGGGCTATCCAAGCAGCCCTGTACACCCCTAAAAGATTCAAATTTCCCTTGAATTGGTCCCGAGGCAGTCTAGACAAGTCTGCACATTGCTGCCAGCTCTGCCAGACTTGCTTTACTAAATCTTTGCAGTTCCCAACCTGCTGAACAAGTCGGGGTGCCCAGAGTGTGCTGACAGACATCAAGCAGTACAAGTGTAAAGACTTCTAGAAGTTAGAAAGCATATCCTGGGAATGAATCTGAGCTCACAATGACATTCTGCTGGGCCACCCTCATTTCTAAACACAGTTCAGCCGATCAAAACCCTCTGCCAGACTTTCTCCAGTGGAACGGACCCCACACTGGGTTACCCCAGGCGTGTTATTTCCAGTAGAAAGGCTCAATGCAGGAAGGCACAGCCTGCAGCATGGAGTGCTGCACAAGGAGGGACCCGTGTGGTTTCTGGCTCCCTTCTGGGGTAGAGCTGCAAGGCATGGCCCCTACCTGCTCCCTTCCAGCACAGGATGGTGGGTGCTGGCACAGCACTGCTTAGCCCCTGCCCTCTTGCTCTGGGGGTATCCATAAGATTAAACTTTCTTGAACTGATACATACAGAAGTAAAACTGATCAGCTTGATTCTCTTATTCCCCAGAATAGAAAGACTAAATGCAATATGCAGAGCACAAACACTGCAAACCAAAGGCATGATCACTGCCAAATTAAGCCATCTCCATGGGAGTCAGTAACATCACAGGAAAAGAAATATCAGCATGTGGCTACAAACCAGACGGGATTCATTCAGCTTGAATGCAATAAAAATTTAGAATAAATACCTTCATCAACTCATTGAGACCAGCAACAACTACTGGAAACTCCTCTGCTAATTAGGTTTAAGACACACATACATGCCAGATTGCAGTGCTGGAGGAGAGCAGGCATTACCTCTCTGCGCCAGGGTCGTGCAGCAGGTACGGGGAGCATTTCACCGCATAGACCGTCCTCCACTTCTTGTGCTTGACCTGGTACACGCACCCAAAGCCCCCACTGGCCACTTTCACCCAGTCCTCCTCGAAGTCCTCCTTGCTGAAGACAGTGAGGCTGCCACATTGCTGCTCTGTCCCCGAAGCCATGGCATCAGAGGCAGCCCGGCACTGCCAGTTGCTTCAGTGTGTGTAGGAATAACTGTGGAGCTCCTCCACACCCAGTGGGGATGGGGAGGTGCGTGGTGAGCCAAGGGGTGGGTCTCCAGACCTTGTATGTAAGGAACATGAGCACGTAAAACTGAGAAACTGCTTGAAAAGAAATGTAAGCAGCATGGAGAGGCAGGGAGCAGGGATGAAGGAGCTGCTGACTGCCTGGAGGGGCATTTCAAGTCAGGAAAGCACAGCAAGGAGCTGGTCGAGGCAGTTCAGCCAGCTCTGGCTGCTGGCTGCTTTGGTGGTGGTTGGTGAACCCACTCACAATGGCTGCTCCCATGCTCCATTGTGCATGCAGCAACTGTTGTGGGACATTGATAGGATGGCTCAGTGAGCAACGGGCCTTCCTGCAGCTCCAGAGGGCTCCTGCAGTTATTACCAACAGATCTTTATTCAGAATCGTAGATTATAGAATGGCTCAGGTTGGAAGGGAGCTCAGAGCCCACCCAGTGCCACCCCTGGCCGTGGGCAGGGCTGCCCCCCACCAGCTCAGGCTGCCCAGGGCCCCATCCCACCTGGCCTTGAGTGCCTGCAGGGATGGGGCACCCACAGCTCTCTGGGCAACCTGTGCCAGCGCCTCACCGCGCTCACTGCCAAACCTTCTTCCTCAGCTCCACCTCAATCTCCCCTCTTGTAGTCTGAAGCCATCTCCCCTTCTCCCATCACACAGACCCACTATAGAGTCCGTCCCCTCCCTTCTCACAGCCCCTTCAGATGCTGACGGGCCGCTCTCAGCTCTCCTTCTCTTGCCTTCTCTTCTCCGTGCTGCTCAGCCCCAGCTCTCGGCCTGTCCTCGCAGGGAGGGCTTCCATCCCTGCCGCCATTG